GAAATAAGGCAGCAGGTCATCAAAGAAAGGACAGAATCTTCCTTTCTACCCAATAAAAAAAGAAGGCATGCACATACATGCACATGTATACACACATACATAGAGAATAACTTTCTCCTTCTCCCTCTAGCTCTTAAAGAAATGAAGCCTTGAAATTAACAGAAAAACTTCAGTTTTTCAGGAGCTTTCTTAAGTGGAAATATGGTTTTATCTGACATTTAGCATAAGAAAGAACTTCAGGTATCAGAGATAGAAAAGAACTTGTAGATCACAACTCTTACAGAACTGACCAAACCACCAACTGATTAACTAGCACAGTTTTCATTTCAAGTGTAGACACAGACAGAGCAGTTTAGCCTTCAGATTCTAAATCTATTACCAAAACTAATCTCAAAGCACCTTCTGCAAAAATGTTCCTTATGTGAACACCTCTTCAGTAAACTCTCACCCAGTCAGGGGGTGAGGACACCAAAGGATCTTTCAGAATGGGATTCTGGAAAGATTACCTTTGAAACACCATTCTTTTGGTAAAGATACTAGAAACAGCTAAATAGTTGTAATGTGATTATATAAATTCTTCTCACTTGATTTTCAACCCGGTCTGCCCCAGATGGAAAGAAGGTTGGTTGAATGTGTTGTTAAACTTGTGATGTTAATCAATTGCTCAGGAAGAACGACACAAACTAGAATGTAGGAGTTCAGCACAGTTCTTTTAGGTGGCAGGTCAGGCGAAATGACCAGGAAATGGATACCACGGTTTTTGGAATGACAGAGTCACATCCAAGAGACGATTCTATATTGGGACTTCCTGATTAACTGCTGACCACATGCTCCCTTAGCTTAAGTTTTAAGACTTTACAAGAAGCTAAGGAGAACAAGGAAGTAAGGAAGATTGAAGTGTCAGAAACTAGGCAGGGCAGTGCTGTTAAGAAGGTACAGAGCTCGCAGAACAGCAACGCTTAACAAAAGAGGACAGTTTCTTAGAACAGGAAAACAATAAACACAGTTTGTTTTCCTCAAAGGAGATAGAACAAGACAAAAGTAGGAAGTGCTGTCCTTCCTTCATCCTGCCAGATTTTCAATGGAAAGTCAAGTGTGTACATCAATCATGATAAGGAAGAAGAGACCAAAGTGATATCACCTTCAAGTTTTTGAAAGGAAAACACAAAGATGTATCACATAACACACTTCTTTATTTTGCCCTTTCAAACAGGCCAGTGCATGCCACACTATGAAGTAATTCCCACTGAAATAGCCCAGCACGTGCCAAACATCACATCTCTTTAAACTTCCTGCAAGGTTCTTGCCTCTTGGCATTCGAGGCAGGGATTTGGGCTGGAAAAAGAGTGCCTTTCCTTATTTCTTCAATACGAAGACTGTGGGTCCACACGACTTGGGTGCTTATAAACCTCAAAGGCCCTTGCTTTGCTATCGTGACAAAGAAAATTCCACATTATTTGGATGGTTGACTGTCAACTATATTTGAGAGTCCAGATATTTGCTAGAAAGTTCTAAAGGAATGAATACTAAGCATATACCCTCTAAATTTAGTATGGAACTAGAAACAATGAGAAGAAATAATTTGCTTGCACTCATAATCTCACAGTTGCACAGTTAACTTAATACGCTCCCTGGTGGACTTGGCCTATGTCATTCTGGGATAGAAATCAAATTTCACTAAATTCCATTAAATGAGAATGAAATAATACATACAGCTGCCTCCCTTATCAATTTGATTGGTTATAAAAATGCTTGTAATTCAGTATTTTGAATCCCAGAATACATTATGAAATAATAAAAAATAAAACAATCATTTTTCAAAAATAGCGGTTAATTCTAGGCAAGGCTGCACAAATCTATCTATCCTGTAATATATCTAGAGTATAGAATTGTATTTACACTATTACAGAAGTGGTCTTTTATTAGAAAAAAAATTATAGCTAGCATATTTTCAGAACTTCCGATTAGTCAGAAACTATGCTACGAACTTTGTCTGTATTATCTCATTTAATCTTCACAGCAATTCTCACAATACAGATGAGGAAACAGCCTCTGAGTTATGTTCCGAACTGATCTACATCACACAGCTAGTAAGTGGTAGATACAGAAGTTGAATTCTGGGATTTGAACTCCAGAGATCATGTTAAATGTTATTCCAGTTGCTAACGTAAGATGTAATTGTCTTTGATAGGGAATGAATTCAGAGTTTTAAACTGGGATAATCAGCATCCCTTACCTGGGGGAGGGGCAAAGCTTCTAGGAAGAAGGTATTAACTGTGGGGTTAAAAATTCTAGAGGTCATATGGGAGAAGGGTATAAGGAACTACTAGACAGAAACTGCAGGCTCAAGGGTTTAAGTTCCCAGTTGGAGTTCTGTTGTTGGGTTCTTCTGCATGCTAAGGGGCTGGCTGAAATGTTTCTGTTTTTATGCAGGGTTTTATTTCTTCCAGGACTAAGTTCAATGGAATACACAGTCAAAACTTCTTTCTTTGCTCTCCTATCTCAGAAACAAGCACATAGTTCCACTGAGAATTTTGGAGAGTTTTTATTTCTAGCAACCTAAATATCAGACAAGAAATGAAAGGGCTTCTTGCTGTGCATACACACACTGCCCCCTTTTTTATTGTTTCTTTTCACTTTGACCCTTGTAGAGAAAGACTGAGGTCTTTGGATAAATAACAGATTGAAAGAAAAATCCATCTGTATTTTAGAAAAAAAAAAAAATCCAGACTGCAAGTTTCTGCATCATTTCTCTAGTAAGTATGAGGAGATGAGACAGACATTCAGGATTCTACCTTTCAAACGGTTGGGTATGGAGGAGTCAAGTAGAGGAATGGAATTGGGGACTGTATCTGCATGACTCTGATGACTTTTTTTTTCTTATTTTCCCTATTTTATTACGGATCTCCCCAGAGTATACAATAAGGAAAGGGAAAAAATGGGTAAGATGATGGGAAAGAGAAGGAAAGGGAGAAAGAAAATTCCATGCCAAGGAAACTTGGAGGTAAGTGATCCTTTTGGCAGGTATTAAGGAGCATTAATACATAAGACAGGTGATTTGACAAGGTTGTAGACTGAAACATAAACATAAATATATGTAACAGAATGGTAGGATCAGAGAGACAACTTAGAGCTTGTGTAGTCTTATTTAACCTCAATCAGGAAACTTTTTCTAGAGCATCTTGGACAGTTGGCGAGGCAAGCTCTATTTAAATATTCTATCTAACCCATTTCCTTCTTGGACAGGTCCATTAAAGTTCTCATAACATTATCCTCTTCCAACCATTTGTTTTGGAACAAGCTCAATGAGGGCAGGGAGTGAGTCTTAACTATTTTTGTATCCACAGAACCTCCAACTTTGTACACAGCAGATGTTTAGTAAGTGGTTGAGTTAATGCATACGTTGATTAATGGGTACAGACTGTCTGAAGAAACAGATGAGGTCTACCTTCCAATCCATACAATAACTCTTTACATATCTGATAATAACTGTCATGTCTCCTAATATTTTTCTTCTTCAAGTGAAATATCATCAGTTCTGTCAACTAATCCTTACTGTTCTGATAACCTAACTCTGGGAACCTACATGTGCCTTTGTCAATTCTTACACAGATTCAAAGGAAATAACAAGGAATAAATACGAGTCCTTTTATCACATTTGTTTCTATTTGTTATTAGCTATAAAATCCCTTTTGAATTTTCTTTTCTTTTTTTTTTTCTTTTTATTCTTTTTTTTTTTTTTTTTTTTGAGACAGAGTCTTGTTCTGTTGCCCAGGCTGGAGTGCACTGGTGCAATCTTGGCTCACTGCAGCCTCTGCTTCCCAGGTTCAAGTGATTCTCCTGTCTCAGTCTCCTAAGTAGCTGGGACTACAGGCACATGCCACCGTGCCCGGCTACTTTTTGTATTTTTTAGTAGAGATGGGGTTTCACCATATTGGTCAGGTTTCGAACTCCTGACCTCAGGTGATCCACCTGTCTCGGCCTCCCAAAGTGCTGGGATTACAGGTGTGAGCCACTGCACCTAGCCCCCTTTTGAATTTTCTATAGCCTTCTTAAAAGCACAATTTCAATAAAATAAATAATATGTATTTATTGTAAAAAAAGAAAATGAAAACCTCTCATAACTGATATCCCAGATGTATCTTCTTCTAGTTGTTAACAAGTTTTAAAATGTAATTTGATGATACTGCACACATAATTTTATATCCTACTTTTAAATAAAGTATTCGATTATGAACATTTCTCATGCTATCATCAATTTTTTACAGAAACCATTTTAAGTACTTCTATATTTCACTGGCAAGCTATCTAGTTATTTATCTAACCAATGCCTTATGGTTATACAGGACCCAATATATCACTACAATAGATAGGACTTTAGGGGAAAAAATCAATGTACATGAATTTTTTCCACATCTTTGATCATCAGTTTAGGACAGATTACTTGAAGTCTAGTTACTAGGTCTAAGGGTATACATTTTTAATAAGGCTTTTGAACTCATCTTTCTCAAGATGTCAATCCCAGCCCTCAAGAATAGGTTAAATACCCTTGTTTTATGTTATCATGGCACTCTGCATCTTCCCTTCATAATCTTCATTGCCATTTTGAACACCTGGCTATCTTTTTATTTCCTGTTAGACTGTAAACTTCATTAAAGTAGGTCCACAAATTATTTTGCTGACTGTGTTTTGCCTAGGGCTTAGCACACAGCACATATTCAATATATATTTTATTGAATTAGTGGCATACTGTTGAATCGTTGCTTATTGCTGAAGGTGTTTGAATCTGTGCCCTGGAAGCACTGCTTACATATACCCACTGGCTGTGTCAACGTCCTAAAAGTGTGATACCTCAAATGGGGTAAAATGCCCTGAGTGTGATTCAACTTTGGTTATGAATGAAATCTGTGACTTAGAACACGTTTCTCAGCTATAACGAGTTCATTGAGTGTATTAAGCTTGGCATTAAAAATTCAGTGAGACTGAGATCTGAACATTACCAACTCTCGGGGCAGAAAATGTCCTTCTTGGCGGGCAATGACCAACGATGCTGTTTCCCCCTGCTTGGTGCTCCTGAGCATGGCCACAAGCTCTTCCTGGGTTCTTCCGGTGACATCTCTCCCATTTACCTAATGAATAAAATCATATAAGCAGCCACAATCACAGTACTTGTTATCTCCTTCTACACTAGATAGTTTTGAAAACAAGAAGCAAACGGGCTCCCATACTTGAGGAAGCTCTGAAAAGATGAAAACTAAATACGTGGGCAAAAACCAACAATGTTTCCCATAATGCATCATCATTATGACGCTGGATGAACTCAGAATCAGTAATTAATATCAGCAGTTTTTCCTAAGACATCAGATTTTTATGTGGGGAAACTGGACTGATAGATACCAGAAAATGATTCTGCTTAAGGTAGAAGGCAGATTTCAAAGGCTTATTTAGTGCCATTTTCTGCCTAATTCAACAAGCAGAGCGAACCATGATCACAAGGCAAATTCCTCTGCAAATACGAATCTAGAGATAGAATCCTGCAGTTTTTAAATGTATTTAGAAAATTATAGTCACCAAATTATCATAGATTACTGGAAATTCTAATTTGGAGCTACATTAGTCATTTGGTGCATCTTCTTTCATGATCTAGAACAACATGAAAAGCTAAAGTGTTGCTTCTAATGAAGATGATTGCTTCAAAGGTAAATGGACAATATATAATTATCAAGATAATAATATCCTCAGACAAAAACAAATGAAAACAAACAGCCACCCTCTTGCTTTTGGTATCCCAAACATATCTCTCTGCAAAATCCCTTACAGCTGTTTTCATTGCTATCCTAGCACAGATGATAGAGATACGGACAAAGCACAGAATGACCTGAGATACTCTGGCTTGTCCTGGCCAAGTTTGAAAAGACTATTATACAGACTTTTTAACTTTTCAGCCCTAAATAAATACATGTTGAATTCTTAGATTCAATCCAAATTTCACAGGGACCTAAGAGGTAGAAGTAAGAGACGTAAGATCAGAAATGGTTTTCATTATCATTTGGCCCCATATCACTGACCTTACTGGGGATTTACAAAGTTAGACTCCTCATTAACCAGTTCTATACTTAAAGTTCTTATCTTGTCTATAAGTAATAATTTTTAATATATATTAGGCTCAAAATAAAAATATTAATATATTTACATATATTTCAATGCAATTAAATGGCATTATTTAAATGCCAAGAAATATTTTCATACAACTATTAATTCCAATTCTTACCTCCAAAATTCTGTCCCCTGATTGTAGGCGGCCATCTTTTATTGCTGCGCCCTTTGGTAAAATGTTTTTTACAAAAATGGGACCAGGACCATGTATGGAAGAGTCTCTGGTAACCACAGTGAAACCAAGTCCTTCAGGGCCTAGTGTATAAGAACAGGAAAATGTATAGTCATCTGAGTAATATTATATTCAATTTTACAGTAAGATCTACCTAATTTAGACTAATATAGAATCAGCAAAATATTTACATTCTGAGACATTTTAAATATGCTTCAGTTATTTGGGTTTCAAATGCAGATTATAGTTCCTGACAGGCCATGACGGTATCAAAGTGAACTTAGGGCCCAATCCAGATGTGTAACACTTTGGCTTATTCAGGTTCTAGAAGAAATGCACATGTTATCCAGATGCCCAGGAGATTGATTTCTCAATAAACCATAACCTAACTTCATACTTTCTGAGAAGCAAAAGGCCATTTGACTTAAGTTCTGTTAGCCTCTTAAATGAGCTGGACAACCTGTGGCTGAGCCCTCTACTTGTGGCTCAATTCCCCGTACTGCTGCATCCCACTGTCTGGTCAGCAAGCATCTTGCTGCTCCTGTCCTGTCCTCTTGCATCTCCAATTTCTCCCTTCTCATGTATTTTTTACTCAGTCTAAAGGTATGCTCAGATTTCTCTACCCTGAAGGATCCTTACTTCCATCTTACTGCTTCTTCCAGCTTCCATCACCAGTGAGCTACCCATGACCATCTCCGTTGGTCTAGCTTTGATGATTCCCACCATTTTCTTGAAATTGACTCTCTCTTTGGTTTTCATGTCTTTATTTTCTGATTATTTTCCTATCTTTGATCACATCACATCCGTCATTCTCTCTAAATCTTACCCATTATCCTCCCATGAAGCCATAGATGTTCCCCAAGGATCTGTCCTGGACCAATTTGTCCCCTAGACTCCCTGCCTTGGCCAGCTCCTGCATCCAAATATATCTTCCAGTGAAACAGACCTACATCTCTATGGCTCTAATGTCTGTTTCTGATGTCAGCTTCCTAGAAGTCATCATGCACATTTCAAACTTCACTACGTACCTCCCTCTCCAATCCAGATTCTGACCTTTTCAAATATCCTCATCTACTTAAAATTCTAATTTCTAGCAATGACATCTCCATTATGCAACTTGATCTGGTTGAAAAACTTCAGCAATCACTGTAATTCTTCTCTTTTTTCCTTCCTACAACCAGTCATTTATTAAGGCATGCCTATTATGTTTCCACCTTTAGACAGATGCAATGCACCCTTTACTTATCCTTTGTTGTTTGGCCTTGTCTTCAGTGTATCTTTTTGCTGTCAGATTAATCTTGCTAAAGTACAGATGTGACGTCGTATCTTTCATTTTTGCATTCAAGGCTTTGTAATACATTTTTAAGGTGATTCTCTGTCTGATTCATTTTTCTATTCCCAAAGCACCCAAATCTGTGTCTTCCACATAGCTGGATCATTTGAACAAAAAATACAACTGAGGCATTTAAATAAAAAAAAACTGATTGATAAGTACACTGAAGTATTTTTATATGTACTAGTCAATGCATTTTATTCCCAGAATAGAATTCCTATAGGTGAATGAAGTTTTGATCAGAGAATCTTTCCAGAATTGTTTTCATATCCTAATTAAAGATACATTATTTGTTTCCGAAAAACCTTTATAGTTTTTCTAAAACTACCTTGTGACCATAAATTCTCTATTAATTCAGACAAGAATCTATAAGATCTTGGTTTCTTTTGAATTGTCCTGAAAAACACAGAATTTCAGAAGGTTGCAATGGGGGAAGGGAATATCAAGCAGAGGTTACAAAATGAACAAAAGCACAGAAGCGCATGAATGCTTATGTATGTGTGTATAATACTGCATAAATATGCATGTACACACATGATCTCTTCTCACTGATTTGTGCTTGAAATGGATAGAAAAGTTGAAAAGATGAATAAAGGAAAGATTGTACATGCTTTTGAAATTAGGTATGTTTTAAATAAATGTTTGTGATGTTGAATCAGAGAAATTAGTAAACATTACCTATTTGCTTTCTGAGGAGTAAAATTTGTTGTTATAAGACTGTCTTAGAAAAACAATATGCTTTTTGGACATGGCCTAAAGGATGCTTCAAGAATCACTAATCGTGCTCAGAAAAGGGATGACTGAATTTTCGTGCCTATTTAGTGTTAAGTTGTAATACAATATTGCTCTGTTGATATCAGGTTTGCAATGATTCTTTCCACTCCCCAAAATGTCTTTATTATTTTCCTCTTTAAAATAATCTATAAGCTCTGAAGAAAAGAATAAAAAAGTACAATTTCAAGAAATTTAAGTTACCTAAGTATACACTGAAATCTATTCTTTGATACAATTAAATGAAGGGAGAATTAACTAAATTAGCCTTAATGCATTTCTCTTAACCAATTTTACATGTTACAATAATAGAATGCTATTAGGCATAATTTAATAATTACCTTTCTTTAGGTCAATCTTAATTTTCTTTGCATTTTTCTTGCTGCCAAATCCCATGAGAGGGGAGAGTGAGGGAGAGGATGGTTTTCCTCCTAGCCTTGGTACTCGGGGACTCTTGTTTTGTTGCAGGCAAGTTGATGCATCTGTTTCAGGACTTTCGGCTCCTGTGAGATTTGCTGTCTTTAGTCCCAATTTTCCATGGACAGGAGGCAGCGCTTTGGTTTTCAAAACGCCATCATTGTTACCAAAAATGTTAAGAGGTCCAATGACTGATTTTTCATACTGTTCACGGTTTTGCGGAGGAAGCACGTGGAGGAGCACGCTTGGGGATTTCATTGCCTGGCGGAAGACATCCTGAGCCCTGGAAAGAGAGTTGATAAATGTATGATGACCCTGCTTTGAGGTGCAGCATCTTCTAAAATACCCCAGCAGGATGGCAACCAAGAGCAACACAGTGGATAATCATAGGAGACACGATCAATATTCCTAACAGAATGACTTTGCCAACTACATACTAGTTACCACTTACTACTTGCCCACTCAGTGCCCCTGCACCAAGTTATACATGCATTATTACCATGCATCCTTCTCTAATTTAACAAGCATGTTAGGTAAGTATAACTAGCTTTCATTTCACAGACATGGAAGTTGAGGCTCAGAGAGATGAAATAATTTGTCCAATGACCCACAGCTTTTACACATTTCTAAAGATGAAAATCTAACCAGAAGTGATTACCACAGTGAATATAAAAAACAAAATAATTTGATATTTTGGACCAGATCATTAGTTAGGTTTCTTTTAGGACATGCTTCTAAAGTACAGATCTTTTCTAACATGGGTTGTGTTACACAAGTTCAAGTTTGACACCCATGTTTGCTCATGGGGACATTTTGGCAGGTGCCTTGCCTGTGCCTAAATGTCTCAGTGGAATCTCAATCCAACATGCACCCTTCCTGTTAGTCTCACATAGAGCAACTGTGTTTTCCACTGTTATGACCTAGCGCTTTGTGTTCTTCCTCAAACTTCTTATAACATTTTCTCCCCTTCTTCCTCATGCCTCTAGATGCCCTGTGCCCAGTTCAAATGACTACTTTTCCCAGTCTTTCTTGCCCAGAAGATATAAATGAAGGTGTTAAAGGAAAGCTCTTTAGAAGAGGCTGGTTCAGTAGAGAGATAAAAACTTCTATTGTTCTCCTGTTTCTCTTCCTTATTTCCTGAAACTCAGAAGTGACTGAGGCAACTCAGCAGCCATCTTATGTCCATTTTTCCACTGAACGATAGTAGCCACATGGCAAGATGAAAGCAGAAGACGGAAGTCGCCTGACCCGCTGATGGCTGTGCAGCTGCCTCAGTAACTATGGAGTGCGAGTGCTCTCTTCCACGCTTGCTTGTTGTTAGGAAAAATTAATGTTAATCTTGTTTCAGCTGCTCTTATTTCAGGTCTCTGTTCCTAGCAGCCATAGCACATAATAACTAATCATAACCCCGACTGCAATCTGATTCCTCAAACTCTATCCCATACCCCCCTTTCTGAAGTGCTTAATTCCACAAATTGTTAGGGGAGAAGGAAGATTTCACATAGGCCACCTAACTCCTGTGGTCAGTTCCCCTGTTATTTTTGCTAGCATAGGAATCAGTTTCTACTCCATACTAACTCTATACAAAATTTTTATGAGCCTCACTTTCCACCTCTATAAAATAGAAGTAATGACTGCTTTGCATAATTATCAAGTCCTTGTGAAAAAGCACAGTAGTATATTAAAAGATTATTACTAATAATAATTATAGTTTTGCCTATCATTATTTTAACACAATAGATTCTTCTAAGGTCTCATTTCTTTTCATACTTAGCAGCCAGTACCCACTCTTCCTCTACCCACAACCACTCATCTTTGTCCACGTGCACACATACAATATTGACAACTAATGCCCAGAGAGAAGATGTATTAGGAGCTGTTTTGGTCAGAAACAAGAGGGTGGTGATGATTCCCAAGGATTATTAGTACTTAGTCCTTTGGTCCAGAATCCCACTGCAATGCCAACATACATTAAAAAAAATATGCATCAGATTACTATACACTCTAATTCCTGGGTACAGGAAGCTATTCCCTTAACATTTTCACATGCAGAGAGATGATTTCTTGAGGGAGACAGTATTTTTTATTTATTTATTCATTTTGAAGATGGAGTCTTTCCCTGTCACCTAGAGTGGAGTGCAAAGGCACGATCTCAGCTCACTGCAACCTCCGTCTCCCAGGTTCAAGCGATTATCCTGCCTCAGCCTCCCGAGTAGCTGGGATTACAGGTGCGTACCACCAAGCCTGCCTAATTTTTTTTTGCATGTTTAGTAGAGATGGGGTTTTATCATTTTGGCCAGGCTGGTCTTGATCTCCTGACCTCATCATCCACCCACCTCAACCCCGCAAAGTGCAGGGATTACAGGCATGAGTCACTGCACCTGGCCAAGAGATGGTATTTTAATTTTATTTTTTTCTGTTTGTTTCTATGATTCAGTGAGTCCTCGGACATCTCTCACAGATTTTTTAGCTTAAGGAAGACTGCTGACACAAAGTAAGTTAATTAATAAGCTGAACTAACAGTCTGTGAAAAGAGCCATTAAATACCAGTTTAACTGACCCATAGCGCAAGAAAAACAAACCCGTTGAACGATGCCCCAGTAAAGACAGCCAGGCAGGAAGGCTTGTGATATTCTGTAGTTTAGCATTCTCAGACCTGCCAGAGACATGTGTGGGCCACCTTGGAGTAGGCTAAAACATTAGAAGCATTTGAAAATGGATGTCCTGGATTGTTCAAAGGGAAGTGACTAGAAATTCTACCTACTATTTTGATCATAATGAGTTCAGTAATGATTATAACCATGCTAGGGATCAATAGAGTAAATAAAACAATGAAAAAATGCTTACTGAGCAAACGTTTTGTCTACGAGATCCACACTGTTGATTTTTACAATACATTCATTTTCGTGAAATAGTCCCTCCCGCTTGGACCTGCTGTTTTCTTCTATGCCTCGGATGAAGAGTCCTAGAATCCTAAATGCAAAATTTAGATTGAAATATAATTACTGAATAATAAATGCTAATTATTTCTCCACTTGCAACTGTTCAGAAATACTATTGATTTCTATTTACAAAAGAAATTATACTTCATATTCAGGCAACTGTTTGTTATTTTAATCCCTAATCCAAAAAAACCAAAACTCACTACAGGACAAAAAGTCCTTCTAGATAAATATGTATAAGTACTAACATCAATCTGCAACTTCGTTTCTCATGCTTGCAGTAAACTTATTGAAAGGCTAGTTTAGTGAGTTGACACCAAAGACTTGTGGTTTGGAGAAGGGCATCAAACCTGACTATAATAAGTAAGTCTGAGTTACTGCCAACATGGCAATGTGATGTTTAGCAGTGGGAGAGCATTAGGGTATTCACAGTAATTATTTTGCAGTCTTACTACCTATTCTAATAATTTGCATTTTAAGAAGTAAACAAACATTTAAGCTCAGATCATATTACTCAGTTTAGAAGGAAGCTGGATCCCATTTGTCGGTGCTACCAAGTCAAGTATGTGTTGGGTGTTTTCTGTGTGCTCAGGATGGAGGAGCCTGAGACAAAGCTGTAGGGCCAGGACCTGGTAACTTCAGTATACATTTGGGGTACAGCTGAAGTCCAAAAACTAAAGACATTAACAAGCCTAGAGTCTTCAAAAATATGAGAGCTAACTAGTTGGGAGACCAGTGCCACACACGAAGGCTTTGAACAGTCAATGAACTTAATCTGATGGACCTGAAGGGGGGCATCCAGTAGCCCCCGCTTCCAAACAGGGCAGCGACATGATGAAGGCAGTCTTTGGGAAGAGATGTCTGAAATTTCAACAAAGAAGAGGCTAAATTAGAGAGGATACCAAGGGGCTTCCGGATTTTTGTGGTCATAGCTTAGAATCAGGAGGGGGTTGGAAGAGAAGGAAAGAAGGAAGAAAACTATAGCCATAAGAATTAAAATTGTGTGTGTGTGTGTGTGTACATACATACACAATTCTGTTATATACATAAACCAAAACTAAACCAAAAACCATAAGAAATGGAACTTATACGTATTTTCATTATTTCTCATTTGTGGGATTTCCCTTCTCTTTGTGATATGACAGGGTTTAGCTGTGTCCCAGAGTAAGAAAGATAGATTATGTCCTGCAAGAGGAGTCTGCTAGGTTTGGAGAAACTGTGATCTATGCTTTATCAATCCTCTTGTTTTTCTACTTTGTCACTCTCTTTTGTATAAAAACCACATGTGCTATTACAAAATACCTTCACATTAAATTTCAAATCTAAATAAAACATGAGTACATTGTATGTGTAAATAACAGGGTCAGCCATAGAAAAGGGCAATCTATAATGCAAGTATCAGAGAAAGCAGTCCTTCTGTTTGGAGTGGCCATGGAGTTGAGCCTCTGCCCCCTTAATGAGCTCCCATCTTCTCAAGACCTCAACAGGCATAGCAGTGATATTTGGGTCTCTACTTCGAAAATGTTAAATGAATACAGCATGCTGCTGCAGGAGAGAGAACAGCAAGCAGTCATGCCATCTTATTGCAGGGAAGGCTCAGGGTCATAGGCACAAGTGTGCGGTGGGGTCTTGTGGTTCATTTCCTAGTTCTAGTAGGTTAGCAAATTAATCATATTCTGTGTTACTTTAATCTTGAAACACAGTATTAAAAATGGAACTATTTGATACATTAAAATAATAGATCATAATTGTGTTGGGTTTTTTTCCCCTAAATTAAACAGCATCCTAAGAGTCCACATTTTGGATTTCTGTTAGGGTGGATTCACAATAACTTGATCCATTAGGAGGCTCACATGTGGTTATACACTTGTTTATGTAAGTGATATTTTTTTAACAAGCATTCAAGTCTTCCTTTAATTTAATTCAGTACATCATCAGTCATGTAATGTTACTCCCTAGGATTTAATTTCACATTTTGGGAGATGAATTAATTCTTTCGGGCCACTGGGTTGCAATTTAGCTGGCATATTACAGCTGGAGTATGCTATGTGAACCTCACTGATCTAAATAATCTAACTTTCCATGAAAAATTTATTGACAGAATAAGCCCAACTGTAAAACCCATGTGTCAGAGGTAATTTCGGTAAAATGTAAAACTGACTGATTTTATTAGTTTGGTCCCTGGCAACAAACCACTTCTGCCCTCTCTGCTCCATGGAAGGGATAGATTCCCTCCAGTTTGATTTCATCCAGACCACTATGAGAAGGCTCAGAAAACAATACCTCATTATCCTCTTTACCCTAAACTGGTGGGCTGTGGTAGCTGTCTCATTTGGGACCAAGACTCACAGAATTCAAAGATTAATGCTGTCGAGAAGTTATAGGCCGAGACTAACCAGTTAATTTGCATTAATGAGCAGTGATAAAGGATGCTGAAATCCACAGCCTCACAGAATTAGAGGGGTAACAATTCTTTTTGCTCTTCTAATCATCATTTAGGCACCAACATCTTCTCCTTGCCCCTTTCCTGTTCTTTCCCCAATGTCACACAGCCTGTGACTCCACCAGCTTAGTATTTTTGTTTGAACATCTCTTCGCACAGTCTTTATTAGCTTTCATTCAGCCCTTGTTCTCTCTCCTGTTTAGCTGTCTTCCCTACGAAACTGAGGCCTATTATGCTATCTGTACTGAAACAAATTAATTTATGTTTTTAATTCACAAAAAACACATTGATTTTTAAAATATGAATAAAATTAAGTTGTGTTTTAGTTGCAAGAACTTTGGAGTTTTTTTATGTTTGTTTTGTTTTTACTGGGAAAGCCAATGGCCCTCAATACAAGCAGCATTCAGCATCCCTCTGCGATGCTATCTAATGGATTCATTGAGGCTTTATCTAGTAGAGCAGCCACCATAATTTACTTAGGATGATCTAACTTAGATTAGGTTTCTTATTCAACAACAAGTGTGGCAACAGTTTTCTAAAAGAAAAAAAAAATAAGAGGCAAAGTCAATTACAGTAATCTTAGTAAAAAATTAAATGTAAATTCCAATTTAAAATAATGGCACAAACCAATAAATGGAAGGAAATTAAGAGCAAAGTATAGCACTATGACCTTAACGAAGCCCCTGTGTTCACACAGTGAAACCATATGGTATTATGAAGTCAGACACTTGTCTGACATGCTCTATAGGCAGTTTCATCTAGACACATGGGTTGAGTTAAGTATGCTGTTTCAGCCTGTACTCATTACTTCTTAACTTTTATTGGCTCATGTCTCCACTTCCATAGCATTTTTAATGTTTTTTAATTAAATTTCCTTTCTATAATACTGGTGGATAGCAAAAAAAATAATAGAACTATTTCACCAAGTTACTGAACAGTTAACCATGAACTTATAATAAAACTGCATTTCTGAATCAGGCTTTTTGGTTTTAGCCAAAATAATCATCATACTGATGATTTACACATTCATACATTATGTGGTTTACAAGGAATTTTCACATTTTTAATGTTATTTAATCACCATAACCTTGATGTAAAGTAGGTACTCAAAAGAGGCAAGTTTAGGGGACTTGATCAAGGTTATAAAAAAGAACACTGGGATTCAAATCCAATTGTTCTGAAACCACGTCCAGTACTCTTTCTCCTATTCTACAAGGTTTGTGCTAGGAATCAGAACCAGGAAGGAGGAGGGAGGAAATCAATAAAGCTTAGTGTATTTCCCTCGTTTGAAGTGAGAGAATGTGATTTCTGAGCTATAGGATCAGCTTGTTTTCTGAACTATTGAAAATGAAGTATAGCGACTGTCACACTGTATATTTTCTCACTTTTGGAAATTGGGAAGATCTTGTGTTCTATCCCAGCTTGATTAAACTAAAGAGCCTGGTCATTTAACAGCTCTGGTAGTTCACAAAGCTCTGTCAGTATACTTCTGCCAAAAGTTATTAGAATTTCTCATGACAACCGAGTAAATATTCACCCTATCTATCAAAAACAACCTCAGTTTGTCCTATGCCATAACCCATAACATTTATAAACACACTTATTAACACATACAGGAAATGAGACAATAAGAGCTGCTAGCTTTTTGGTTCATTTCTTTTTGGGAACATTCATTCCAGTGAGAGCTTGGCATCAGATGTTATTTGCAAAGAAAAAAAAAAAAAGGTGATGACTTCGCAATTACAGGTAGCAGATGGCTACCTGCTGAATGTGATGCCAACCCAAATACCATGACTAAATCTGTTCTTTTTGCTATAGGGCAGACTGAATTGAATAAATATTCAGAATCACTAAATTAATACTATATAACCTTTGGGAAAATTTTATTTCTTGAAAGAACAATGAAGTGAGAAGTTAGGGGAGCTGGATTTTATGTGACCTTGGGAAGTCAATTGACTTGTCTCATCTGTGATATCCTAAACTAAAATAAGGAATCCCCCCTTTTCAATGATGTGTTTAAGAAAATAAATTCAGTAAATTAACTGCAATCATGTCATGTTGGTGAAAAACTGATTTTAAGTTTCTGACAACCCTTGTCAATATCAATCTAGTGCTAAATGTGGTCGTTTTATTACAAAGTGACATAATATTTAAAACAAGTTCAGTACAATTGTTTTAACAGGGCTAGTATGAACTCGAAGGCACACACTTTAATTTCCATCAAGAGAACAGTCTTTAAATCCAGTTAGACAGATGTAAATTTCAAGAAGTGTTGATACAATCTACAATGCCATTTTTACCAGTGTGGATTTAGCAACATAATGTGTTAAAAATTCCAAAAAGATGTGGTAAATTATTTTTAATTGACTAAATTATATTTTATGAAAATACAGCATGATGACACATTGCTTCTATAAAGCCATCATACATACACAGTATCAGATATAGCTACTTAAAATGTTAGAATATTTATTATTCTAAATGCTACATACTTGAGGAATAACAGGATATACCAATTTAGAATTATTATACTCACTTGTTGAAGCATATTCTGGAATATCAAAAAAATTCAGTTGCAACATTTGTCTAACAATATGTTAATATCTTTGCCAAGGATCTGTTTACTATGTGTCACTGACAAGGATACTTTAAGGAAGTATTTCATAATTAATTGTAAATGGAGAAACTGTGGTTGATTTTTTTCCCCATTACATCCTAAAGTCAATTATTGTCTTTTGTTTCCAACACTTAAGGGGCCAACAAAAGTATGTCTTGAGGTATCCATTTGAATAATAGAATACACATTTAATCTCCTTCTGAAAAATATTTGGGAAAAGGAGCTCAAATCAGGGTTTTCATTAGCACAAGTTTCTAGAATGAGAAAAACATTTTACCTTCCACTCAGAGATGAAAAGAAGGGCACTACATGTATTCCCAATGGGCCTCCTTCCCCAGAAATCTCCACTGTTCTTGTCATATCACTGGGACAGAAAAAAACAAGAGCACAAATGAGTGTCTCCTAAAAAACAGAGAAGGCACATCTAAAACACACACACACACACACACACACACATCACTCAGATTATATCAACTAATATAACTTCAACAGCAGAGACTAAGTCAAAAGAGTACATAATTTATTGGTATGTTCAGATGATCCAGAAAACAAAATGTTTAAAAGGCTCTCTGATTTCTTATTTTTACTCCTAGAAGAGGAACAAATGGAAATGACTACCTACAAAAATACCTTCCTACGTAACTTAATCTGCATAAGTCAACATATTTTAAAAGAGGTACACAAAAATTAAAATTTTCCCCATTGAAACACACTTGAAAATTACTGTACAGATCATACAAAACACAGAAGAAAGCACATTGATGCTTCAGCATAAAGTAGGCTTCTTCTCTGGAACAGAGGAAAAATGAAATAAAATATTTATTAGAGAAAGCACAGAATTACATGTTATAATGGCTGTGAAGCCACAGTTGGTAATACATATGGGCATGTTCAAAGCAATATAAATCAAAACTCAAACTTGCTTTTCAATAAAGCATCAGTTATATTCAAGAGAACAATTCCAAATTTTCACCTCCTATATTTTTTTAAAGGTAGAAAAAGAGGTTGCAAAGTCTGAAGAAAATGTATTATAGAAAGAAATAGAAAACCTGACCTGCCTAACCTACTCCAGATTAAGGAAAGGATGAACTAGAAACATTAATAGATTGTGTGTATGACTGAAATATGGAAGGCACTGGGAGCTTTTGAGTAATAAAGAGTAGAACTACCAAGTTTTCATAAAGATGAAAAATAATAACTGTGAACGATTACTGGTTCTTTTAATCCCAGGGAGAAAATATAATTGTCAGAAGAAAATAATAAGGTTGAAGCAAACATCCACGTTATGGAAATTGTAAGCAGGTCTCCATTGTTTCCTATTTACATGAAAATGACCTGAAACTAGATGTCAAATTAAGAGCTACAGCTGCTACAAATGCTTTCTGCTCCAACATGAAAACGGTGAAATTTTGGCTTCTTGCTGGAAAGCTGAGAACAGCATTAAGCAAAATGCATGATGAATTCACTCTGCATGAAGTATTCCCTAAATTATCAGTAATCTAAAATAAATACATTAAATATATTCTCATCAGTGGATTAGGTTGATTTTTAATGTGTTTTCTTTGCAAGTCTATTATCATTAAGAAATGCAAAAAAGAGCACATCAGTTTTCAGCATTTGTGGAATATGATGAAATTTCAAATCTGATTATAAATTTTACCCAGATATTGCTGATGTATGTAAAACTTGCTCAGTCAAGCAGATTATGTCAGAGGCTTGGAATAAAAGCTAAAAACAAAACAAATCTTAGAGTGATAATACAGTATTAAATTATTCATCTCTGTATATGTGAGGTTATGAATATTCATATAAATATGTGTATATGGACTGGTATATATAGGTATGCATTACAAGGTTTGAATATAAAATGCTTGGTTGACAGAGAAAATTGAATGGCTTTCAACAGACAAAAAAGCAACAAGTTTTATATAATAACAGAATTTATAGTGCATTTTTAGGTATTTGAGGAAGACTAAACCAAAAGCATTTGCACTCTAGGTTTACAATACTGCTTTTAAAGACTTTTATAAACAGAGATTCAAATTTTGCTTAGCCACTGAAAATTATTGCCCTTACCTTTATAACATATTTTTATAGTTTTGCACTGAAAAAACAACACAAATCTTTCCTAATAAATGTATCAAGTATCCACATGCTGAGAGATAGCATCCATATGTAATATACAGAGGCGTTTGGAATGTGTTTAGTCTGTTATAGACTTTAAGTTTTCGGCTTAAGAATTTTTAGCATACCTTTTATGAATTCTCATTTTTTTTCTATTTCACAAATATTTCTTTACTCCCACTCAAAATCCCTTCTATAAGATTAACAAATTATATGTACCATACTGATACCTACTCTTTAGCAATCGTTAATAATGTGTTTTTACATTCACTTAAGAAAGTCAAACATATTTAAGTAGCCAATCTTTAAAAAAAAAACATATAAATTTGTGAGAATGGAGTTTTAAAAGTTGACTTTATTTTATGAGAGTCTCCTTTCAATATCTCAAAATAAATTTTTATTCTACCATCACACACAACAGTTGCAATTTTGTAGCTAGAATTGTTCTGATAACTTGTAAATTATTATCACAAAAATAGTACTATCCCAGAAAAAAAGCCTAAAAGACTTTCGATTTTGTTTACTGTAATATATAAGCAATTACAGAAAGTTAGATCTGTTTAATAAAGATAAGTAATATAATTTTACATAGACCATGTCTCACCATGTTCTCTATAAAATGTTACCCATTATTTGTTTCAAGATGGAAAGGAGAACATTTGAAAAATAATGCCCCATCGACCAGTTCACATATTTTTATTTATTTTAAAAGAGAAAACAACCCGCAGTGCTAGAAATACTTGATGGAGTTCTGTTCCATAGAGATCTCTACATATACAGTCTTCATGGAAGAGAAACACAGCAAGTAGGACTGGACACATTTATATGACTACATATCTCATAAAGTGAGATTATACAAAGACATGAAAATAGGCTACTAATGTTCTTTGTTTAGATAAACTCTAGAGTAGAATTCAGGGACTGGTGAACAGGAAATGTGCACATTTATGTTTTAGAGGACACTATAGTGCCAGAAAATAAGCTAGAAGGTTGATTTAAAATGGAAAATATGAGCGCACCCAAGATGGCCGAATAGGAACAGCTCCAGCCTCCAGTTCCCAGTGTGAGTGACACAGAAGATGAGTGACGTCTGCATTTTCAACAGAGGTACCAGGTTCATCTCACTGGGGCATGTCGGAAGTTGGCGCTGGTCCGCAGGTGCAGCCCGACCAGCAAGAGCTGAAGCAGGGAGAGGCATCACCTCACCTGGGAAGCGCAGGGGGAAAGGAATTCCTTTTCCTAGCCAAAGGAAATTGAGACACACAACACCTGGAAAATCGGGTAACTCCCACCCTAATACTGCGCTTTACCAAGGGTCTTAGCAAATGGCACAACAGGAGATTATATCCCACACCTGGCCCAGAGGGTCCCACGCCCACGGAGCCCCCCTCATTGCTAGCACAGCAGTCTGAGATCTAACTGCAAGGTGGCAGTGACACTGGGGGAGGGGCGCCCACCATTGCTGAGGCTTAAGTAGGTAAACAAAGCCACAGGGAAGCTTGAATTTGGTGGAGCCCAACACAGCTCAAGGAGGCCAGCCTGCCTCTGTAGACTCCACCTCTGGGGACAGGGCATAGCTAAACAAAAAGCAGCAGAAACCTCGGCAGAGGTAAATGTCCCTGACAGTTTTGCAGAGAGTTATGGATCTCCCAGCACAGAGACTGAGATCTGAGAATGGACAGATTGTCTGCTCAAGTGGGTCCCTGACCCCTGAGTAGCCTAACTGGGAGACATCCCCCACTAGGTGCAGACCACCACTTCACACCTCACACGGTGTGGTACACCCCAGAGACGAAGCTTCCAGAGCAAGAATCAGACAGCAACACTCACTGTTCAGCAATATTCTATCTTCTGCAGCCTCCGCTGCTGATACCCAGGCAAACAGGGTCTGGAGTGGACCTCAAGCAAACTCCAACAGACCTGCAGCTGAGGGTCCTGACTGTTAGAAGAAAAACTAATAAACAGAAACGACACCTACACCAAAACTCCATCAGTATGTCACTATCATCAAAGACCAAAGGCAGATAAAACCACAAAGATGGGGAAAAAGCAGTGCAGAAAGGCAGGAAATTCAAAAAATCAGAGTGCATCTCCCCCTCCAAAGAAACGCAGTTCATCGCCAGCAACAGAACAAAGCTGGATGGAGAATGACTTTGACGAGTTGAGAGAAGAAGGCTTCAGTCGATCAAACTTCTCAGAGCTAAAGAAGGAACTACATAACCAGTGCAAAGAAATTAAAAATGTTGAAAAAAGATTTGACGAATGGTTAACTAGAATAACCAATGTAGAGAAGTCCTTAAAAGAACTGATAGAGATGAAAACTATAACACAAGAACTATGTGACAAATGCACAAGCTTCAGTAACCGACTTGATCAACTGGAAGAAAGAGTATCAGCGTGTGAAGATCAAATGAATGAAATGAAGTGAGAAGAGAAGTGTAGAAAAAAAGAGTAAAAAGAAATGAACAAAGCCTCCAAGAAATATGGGATTATGTGAAAAGACCAAATCTATGTCTGATTGGTGTGCCTGAAAGTGACAGGGAAAATGGAACCAAGTTGGAAAACACTCTGCAGGATATCATCCAGGAAAACTTCCCCAAATTAGTAAGGCAGGTCAGCATTCAAATTCAGGAAATACAGAGAACGCCACAAAGAGAAGAGCAACTCCAAGACACATAATTGTCAGATTCACCAAAGTTGAAATGAAGGAAAAAATGTTAAGGGCAGCCAGAGACAAAGGTCGGGTAACCCACAAAGGGAAGCCCATCAGACTAACAGCAGATCTCTCGGCAGAAACTCTACAAGCCAGAAGAGAGTGGGAGCCAATATTCAACATTCTTAAAGAAAAGAATTTTCAACCCAGAATTTCATATCCAGCCAAACTAAGTTTCATCAGTGAAGGAGAAATAAAATCCTTTACAGACAAGCAAATGCTTAGAGATTTTGTCACCACCATGCCTGCCCTACAAGAGATCCTGAAGGAAGCACTAAACATGGAAAGGAACAACCGGTACCAGCCATTGCAAAAACATGCCAAAATGTAAAGACCATCAAGGCTAGGAAGAAACTGCATCAACTAACGAGCAAAATAACCAGTTAATATAATGGCAGGATCAAGTTCACACATAACAACATTAACCTTAAATGTAAATGGACTAAATGGTCCAACTAAAAGACACAGCTGGCAAATTGGATAAAGAGTCAAGATCCATCAGTTTGCTGTATTCAGGAGACCCATCT